GACGTACGAGCGCAGTTGATGTTTATGACGATATTGGTAATGATAATGAGCAGCAGCATCGAGAGTCGAGTCGAATGAGCAGAATAATGAAGCCTGTGAGGGGAGGTGGCACATACAGTGCTGCCACACTTTATACGCGCACATTCATTGTTATTTGTTTCGTAACAAATTGTGTGTGTGCTGGCTTTTTTAATTCCATTTTTTGTTCATTCTTTTTTGTGCTTGTGAAAATATTGTATTGCGGCGAACATTTTAGTTTTGGTTATGGCTTCCTTCATTCGTTGCGCTTTCGTGAGTATTTTTTTTTTCTGAATTATTGGACAGTTACTTTTTCGCTTTTGTTATCTGCCATTTTATTTATTCTTTTCGACTTGCTACTTGCTGCATTGTTGCATTGTTTCGCACATTGTTTGCCGTTATTGTTTACTATTGACATTGCTGCACTTGACGTTGCTGTTGCTGCCGCTGCTGGTGCTTCTGTTGTTGCCACAACTGACCTTTTCCAGGCCACTTCATGCTTACATGCAACCACAATTTCCCCGCTGCCGTACTCCGTTCGCCTGCCAGCCATTCATTATTGACTTCTGCTTTGTCTGCTGCAGGGTCGTCGTATTTTAATTGCTCAACTGCGTAACCATCATTAGCAGTTGGCCTTTTTTCTACTTGATTTTGCCTCATTACTAGCTGTTGCCTTTTCGTTGCCACATATATTTTTATTTAGTAAATTTTAAACGATATAATATGAAAAAAATGATTTCGCGATTTTTCATACTAAAATAATTTAATGGTTTGAATATAATTAAGTAGTTCTATTTATCGGAAAATTATATGTTATTATATAAATTGATATTTATGATTATAAAATATTTACCCATTAAAATTAAATAAAGAACTTTATTTATTTTTTGCAGTAAACTAAAACCCCTCTAGTATAGATAATATTTTGTGCATTGCTAAATAGTGTTAAAATGCGCCTAATGGTAGGCAATGTTTTACTACTTTTCGAATTCCACAATTGAACACTGACTATTTAAACCATATATCTTCATTTCAGTTTTTGACTTCTACATCTAACTAGTTTAATATATCACAGGTATTGATGTAGCTCTGAAGAAGATCTAAAAACCTTTTTTTTTCGGCATGTTTCGATAGGCATCGCTTTTTTTTATACGCTGAACAGGATATATTAAGTTTGTTACGATGTTTGTAACAACCAAAAGTAAATGTAAGAGAGTCTGCAAAGTATTTATAAATATAAGCAGCGTGACGAACAGTGTCGATTTAGACCTGTCCGTCTGTCCGTCCGTCTGTCTGTATATGTAGTCCATCAGTTTTTGAGATATCAATCTGAACTTTTGGATATATCCCTTTCTCCCCAAGATGGTGCTCATTTTTCAGAAACGCTGATATCGGATCACTATAGCATATACATAGCTGCCATTCAAACTGAACAATCGGAATCAAGTGCTTGTAAGGAAACATTTTTTGATTTGAGGAGATATTTTCACGACATTTTGCATGAATTATTGTCTCAGCTAATGGTGAAGTTTCCTAAAAAATCATTTAGATCGGACCACTATAGCATATAGCTGCCTTACAAACTAACCGATCAAAATACTAGTAAGGAATCTTTCGTATTTGTGAAGGATATTATAGCGTCGCTGCAACCGAAGTTACGTTTTTTCAGCTACCTCACCTTATCTTTAAACGCGTTTTTTATGAAACAGCATTTTTAAAATTTTTTACTATGATTAGTCGAAGACAAAATATACGATTTCTACATGTTCTGCTGTTCTGAATATCTATACGAGTAAAATGACCTACCAATTTCTGGAAAAAAATCGAATTTTGGCAAGCCAACAACAACTAAAATTTTGGCTAAGATGAAACTTCTTGTAAAAAAGTGAGCATTTCGAAAATTTTTGATTTTTTTTGACCGCAGATTATTATACAAAAAATATCTTTTAGTCTAACTTTTTTGGGGTTTCATTCACGCAGTAGATTTTTTTTTTTTTAATTCCCAAAAATCTGCCGTTATACTAAGTGTGTGCCACTTTATATATAGTCATCATCACAAGCATGAGTTTACGATACACATTGATGAAATCTAAACTAATTATACTGTTCGTTGAAGGTAAATAAGCTGAAATGAAGAGTAATTTTTAAGTTTTTCACGTTATGGTAAAAGCGTCAGGAATAGTACATAAATATATTTTCAATGGATAATTAATGAGTGCTCGTTAAAGATTAGACTAAAACGTTGGCATTTGTTTCTAGGGGGAGAAATTGATGAGCCACAAGAAATGAAGCAGCCCTCTATCAGCCTATGATAAGTTAAGTATGGGTTAAACAACAAATCTGCTAAAAGTGTGCTATGGGGAATGACAAGGCGGACGAAGTAAAAAAAAGTTGAAAGTATGTACATAATATATAAAGTTCTTCATTAATTTTAAAATTTGTTAGATAAAGAAAGAGAAGTGAGATATTGGCGAAACTTAGTAATGAAGTTATAGTGCTGAAAATCATATTTATAAGATTAATGCTGGCATTTTGGCATTTATAGTCCATATTAATGGTAAGCGGGGTGGTGATAGGGATGATGATTTTTTCTATATATTAGACTAAGAAGAAGTTATCACAAAGTAGCCCAGAACATATGCTCGTCTATTTTACAACGCTTTTATTAGCTTCCTGTATGTTTGTATGTTTGTAACTTTTTTCTGTGTAAGCGATAACTTGAAAATAAATTGAGATATCGTGATTAGGCTTGCTACATATGTATGTTCCTTGACATCGAAGAGAGATCGGTATTGCAGATGGGCGTAATCGGACCACTGTCATGCTCACAAAACGTCATTAAAAGAAAACCTAGAAAGGGTCATAACTAAGCACTAAATTAAGATACCGAACTAAGTAAGTTTATTGGCTAAGAAAGTATATTGGCTGAAATTTTTTTTAAAGTTAGCGTAGCCCCGCCCCCCAAATGTTTACTGTACATATATTCCAAACCGCTGATGCTAACTTAACCAAATCTGCTGGAGGGCAGTCTTTTTTAGCACTTTTTCATACTCTGTAGTTTTTAAAGGCGTTTGTACTAATTTAAGAAATTCTTACAAATACGCTCACATCTCCGAAACTATTTGCCAGATCAACTTCAAGTTTTCGTACATACATATACTTATCAACTTTATGTAAATTCGATATATAAGCAAAAAAATTATTTTTTGAAATGTATTTAACGTCATAATCTGTTTTTTAGGAAAAAAAGGCGTGGTTCTAGCCGTTTTTCGATCATTTAAGTCCAAGCTCAAAGAACGTTATCCAAATATAAATACCAAATTTGGCGGAGTTCGTCAAATGATTTGTGAGATATGATATTTTATCTAGAAGAAGGCTGTCACATGGCCATTCCCAATTAGTAGCGGCTGTTATTTATTTTTCTTAAACAAAAAACTTATTTTGCGACAAACGCAAAATTTATGAAGGCTTATAAAATTGTTAAATAAAAATCAAATAATTGGCACACTTACCTTACTATAAAAAATTCTGCCCCATTTCCTCAGCTTAAATGTTTGTGTATTCCTAACACATCTGCATTGAATTTATTTATGCACAAATTTTCATTTTTTCATTATTTTCACTTGAAAGAAAGTTCATGATTTAATTTACGAACACTTTGCGAACTTAATTATTTATTATTAAACATTTCTTACAATTATTTTTTAGTAAATTAATTTGAATATTATTTCTTAATTTGGTGTTAATTAAATTTTTATATTATATATATATTTTCTTTTATATTTTCCTAACCTTTTTCAGTTGTTACAAGTAAAATATTTATTTGCTTATAAAACTGCATTCAAGCAGCAATTATTAATAATTTGCGCCATAATTAGCTGTAAAGATTTGAATTTCGCGACGTGTGTTGAGAAACGGCGAATTATTTGTGCGTTTTGAAGTTAACTTTGAAACTTGTAAATTTTTTTATGTTTATTTATTATTTAATATTATAAATATAATATTATTTTTAATAATTAGCTGATTTAAATTATTTGAATTATTATAAGTTTTTAATATTTCAATTTAGTTATATTTTTTAAACTATCAGTTTGTTGATATTTATTTCAACATATTAAGCAGTTTTTAGAAAATTCAATATTTTTTTAAAATAATTTAAAATTTTGCTGAATTTTTTTTTTTTTTAATTATAGATTACTTTTATTAATTTGTTATTTTTGTGTTATTATATTTTAATTATTTTAATTTATTTTTTTTTTACTATTTTTCTCTAAATTACACACACATTAACAAACAAGTATTTTATTTGCACTTTTAAATTTTTTTTATTAACTCCACTACTACACATACACCACAAAATTTTCGATTTTTCACTAAATTAGTTTTGTATTGCCTTTATTTATTCACTAAATTTGCTTTAAAATTTAACACCCGCACTTTCACGAACACACGTATATATTTACACGCGCACATGCATGAATATTCGTTCAAGTTAATTTTTCTCCACTTTCCCGACGTTGTTGTACCAGCACAGCAGCTGCTTATTGTTATGCGACCAACCCATTCATGCGAGCGGCAACAACAACAAAGCTAGTGTGCGCTTAAATTGCGCCTCTCCAATTCGCCGCAGTCGTCTTGCCTGGTCTCTGTCGCACCGCTGCTTGGCTGAGTTGTGAGAAAAATAATGTGCAAGGCCAAGCATTTAATAGTCTTGCATTGTTGTTGTTGTTGTTTGCTGGCTGTTTGGCTTCTGCTGCTGACGATGACACCTCTAACAGTAATAATAGCAATAATAGCAAGAACAAACAGCAGTCATTTGCATAACCGCGTCACAAATGTCGAAACACCAGTATTAAAGAATACGAAGAAGACGAAGAAGAAGAACACGAAGAAGTGGTAGAAATTCTTAATGTAGGCGGCTCAAAGTTCGCTGGCTGCTTGCTGAGCTCAAGTTTTTTCGCAGATTTTTTTAAAGCAAATAGCCTACGCTATTCTCCTATTCCTCGATCACATGCCATTCATCAGCGCGTGTTAACAATGCTGGGCCTACGCGCGCCTCATTTAACGATACACCCTTTATGCATACCCAGACATGTGTGCACTTTTAAGAGGTTTTATTATTCTACTTTTTTTGTGTCTCGAAAATTTTCTATTTCTGTTTTTGTGTTTTTGCAAAATTTTTTCTTTTGTTTTTCGCCAAATATGCGTGTGATTTCGTTCGCTGTCGCCTTGACAGTGTGATTTTCGTGCTTCGCCTTTAATTCATTGTCTCAACGGCAAGGTAAATATGTGTGTGCATTTGCATTTGTAATTGTCGAATAGCATGGCATTCAAGGCCCTCAAATGGGATTTTAATAGAATTGGTTTTCATTGTTTTATCTTGCAATTTGCACTCATTTTCATGATAATTATCTTGATAAAAGCGTTGGTAACTCTGGAAAGAAAAAGAATAATACATCTTGAATAGAATCTAATTTAATTCTTTAATAATATTTAATATGTTTTTAACACCATTTTAATGAGTTTCATTAGCTTTGGAAGTCCAAACACCCTCCTGGAAAAAATTTGCCTAAGGCACTAAAGTTCTATCTCGTTTTCAAATCATTTACAGTAATTAAAATTTTTGTAGGATGAACAGATATTACAGTTACTTATGTTCAACACTTTTTTCTTCAAGCCGACAAACCTTTATAGGGTTTTCTATCTTCCATTATTAAAGGTACATAAGTGTAAGTGGTAATTAAACCATTAATTTCAGTTATACCAGGTGTGTTCTAAGGAATATTTGACCACAAACAAAACCGTAATCATGCCCCAACCACGTATTAACCAGATTTAGCTCCCTGTGAATTTTTCTTTTTTCCAAAACTAAAGAAACTAATGAAATTAAAGCGTGTTACCACAATTAAGGAAATCAAGAATCGAAGACAGAACTGATGGCCATACCGAAAAGCACATTTCAGAAGTACTTCGAGGATTGGAAAAAGCGTTGACCCAAGTGTATTATATAATATCCGAAGGGGATTATTTTGAAGGGGACAAAATAGATATTGATGAATAAATAACCACCTTTTAAAAAAAATTCAAAATTCACATTTTCCTTTGAACACACTTTGTAAATAGGCTTATTTTTTTATGTGTATGGTTTATGTATATAAGGCCTACGGATGTATATAGGGATGAGGTGATATTTGATATGTTAAGTGAAAAGTTTACGCTAATCAACCAACAAGGCTCGAAGACAAAATTCAAACCACTAAAGCCGGAATTCCAGCCGAAATGCTATTTGACAAATGTTTCTAATATACAGAACGTCCAACATTGCGGTATTCAAAATTATTTTGGCTTAGCGTACTTCGGCGCAACTTTCTTGGTTTAATTCAATTTCCTCTCTCGATAAAAACAAAGACGGTCTTTACTAAATTTGTTTTACATTTTTAATTATAATACGAAATGTAGACGACATTTTGTTTTGTACATAAACTCCTCACTGTAATCCTCATTACTGCAATCACCCACCTAATTGCCCCACCACACAAGATTAGCAATTCATGTTCATGTTTTTTATATTTCTTGTCATTTTGTTGTTTTGTGTTTCATCTTAATTTTTTTTCAAGAAAGTTTGTTCATTCTGCTTGTTTAACATGATTGCCGACAACTCGTGTCGCATTGTCATGTGGTAATTTTTAACTGACAGCCGACACTAAGTACATCACTCACGATAAAACAACAACAGAACAAATTGTCACATAAACATACTTCTTGCGGGCATTTCTATGTGAAAAAGTCAACGTGCAAATAGAATATATTCTTGGGTGACCAAACCCAGTGCGGGTAGTGAAAAAACAAAAGAGCCTCTTGTAGCACACAGAACGCCATTTGAACACAATTTTCAATAGAGGGTGTTTTATATTTATCATTAATTGTTTCCTGCAAAACACTTTGATTTTGAATTTAAATAAAAATAAAATTTGCAGTTTCTTGCAAATGTTAGCACTTACGGAGGTAATAAAAAAGTATTTCTCTACTATAATCCAAATCAACGCAGCTCGACGTTCTGCAAGGAAATCTATTTCTTGTTAATTTCAACTTTGCTTTTACTGCGATTTAAGTTCTGTTAAAGCGCATGAGACGAGAGATGCTAGCCGAGCCAGGAAGAGGGATTGAGAACTTGGCTTACATGCCTAATGTAACACGTAGAATTATTTTCTATTGTGGAAATCGTTTTGTAAGCTTCAGGCTTCTTTTTCAATGTCAATATACTTCTACATCTAGTATCTATAATGTCAATTTTACCATAGAATTTTAAGAACTTAGTTTATTAATTATGAAGATTAGGACGGTTCGATTAGTATCTACAAGCTTTTTAAATTTTTTTAATTTAAATTCAATATAGAATTATAAAAAACTGTATGTATCACGAAACTGACCAATAAATGAAGCTTAAGGGAAATTTTTGAAGGGAAAAGCGATTTCTTCCAATCCACTTTATAAAGCGTATATGATGCAGCTCAGCTAATTGTCTAGAACTAAATAAGGTTTATTTCGATAAGTTTAACATAGTTTGTGTTTTATGAAATTTCTTATCAAATATGCAATAGCTATTTTTATTTGTTCCTTAATTTAGAGATTTAGTGCAATGGTACTTATTAACAAAAATTTAATAAATCGATGCTTAATTTATTTATCTTTTGAAGTTCAATATATAATATAATTGTTCACTGCCCGATTGTCATTGCGGCGATTCTAAAAATCTTTCAGCTAAAAATTTCTGTAAGGCAGCTAAGAGCAATCATCTCAGTGCTTTCTTAATGGTCTTGCAAAATTTAAATATACTCAGTCATAAAACTCAAACTAACTTATCGCATTTTGTAAGCGTTTGTTTTGAAAAAATTTTGAAAATTTACTAATAAGACATAAAAAATATATTACAAATGTCCGTTAGGATTTATAGTAATTCGTTCACTCTATATGAGAGTCTAGAATTGACAAACCAAAAAAAAAAAAAATTTTATTTTATACCTGACACCCATAAAACATAACTGATCAGCCTGACGAACTGAGTCGGTTTAGCCACGCCCGCTTGTATATACGTGAACTATTTCCTCCGTTTTTGAGAAGCGCTACTCTAAGCAGCTGCTCATTTGCCGGAACCGCCGTTATCGGACCATTATACAATATCATATTGCTGCCCTACAAACTGGCCAATCAAAATAAAAATCAAGATCTTTCTATACACTTCTATGCTATAAGAAATGCACATGTAAAGGTTTTGGGTTTTGTTGTAACCGAAGTTCACGTTGTTTTTTTTTTTGTTTCCACAACAAAGAGTGGGAGTAATCCCAACAGCCCTCATTATTGATTTATTTAGTTTTAAGCTAACAACTTTATAGAGAACTTAAAATAATATATTTTATGAAACAAAAACAACTGTGAACCAAAGTGAAGAGTCGGATAGAACCTTAAAGTTTTTTTTGCAAAAACGTAAGAAATAGAAATACTTAAAAACTACTGAGCCGACACTGAAAAAATTTAGTATTTTGTCACATAACATCAAAACAGCTCTAAGTTACATATTATAAATTTTACAGTAGAAGCAAAAAATCCAAAAAAAGCATGTTTTATTAGAAATATAACAAAAAAAACCGATAAAAAAGAACACACACAATGTCATGGCATTTCATATTATTTATCATTTCACTAAAGGCGTACGCTACTAGCTTGCGCTCAAGGCTTTTTGAATTTTGTTTATAGCAACATTATTATTGGTTGTTGGGTTAATAAATTTTAAAGGAACTTGTATTATGATACGGTACATGATAATCAATTAAAAAATGGATTTTGAATTTTTTATTACTTAGGGCTTTTTAGATTTCATGTGACCATTTGTACTATATAACGAAAAGAGCCAAAGTTTAAAACAAAATCTAAAGCATTAAATGCACATTTCCAGCACCTAATTTAGTTTATATTTGAACCATATAATATTTATAAGTACATTCCATTTGATAACGACCTGAATTATAAATACATTACTAAAATCTGCATTAATTCATATTAGGAGCATATCTTTCTCACAAAAAGTAAATTAATCTAACCAAATGTTTAGCCGATAAATGGAGCTGGGTCCAAAATTTTTTAACGACTTTCGTTTAGTCCATATAACACAAAAAATTATTTTTCAGAGCAATAATTCAATAGATAACATATCGATGCATTAAAAAATATGAAGACATTTTTCGAACCGCATACTAAGTTAAAAAATTCACATAATACCATCTAAGAATAATGTCTTCCACACAATATCTGTAATAAAAATGGAATATTATCGCTAGTTCATATATATATAACTCATGTTAAAAAAAAAAAATTTTGTTCACTAAAAAAATTTAATATGTAGCTTTGGCATTAAATAAAAATAGTATCTGCTTTGGAAATCATATTTTTTGCATTTAGTGTTAGTAGTAGTAGTAGTGTACAATTAAAGTTACACAGTTGTTATCGTTTGCTCATAGTCACCCAACAGCATTTCATTCATTATTACGCCTTCCATTTTTCACTGCTACTGGCAATATTGCACTTTCTCTTCTCCAGTGAGATCTTGCACTTTCAGCGCTTATCACTACTCTACATATATTGCATATCTTCAATGATCACTTTTCTTATACAACAAATACAAATTAAAAATCTTTTATTTCTCGTTAACAAAAATAAGTAAAAATATTAACACGTTTTCGATTTAAAAATTTTCTCTTGAGAAATTTTACTTAAAACATATTTCACTGTCATGACTTCGTAATGCAACGCTGTTAACGCGCATTTTGTTTTTGTTGTTCCTATTCGACTTTTTTTGTATTTTGCACACGTTGGTGCATCCTCGAACACAAACACACACACACACATCGCTGAGTAGCCCCACAGACAGCCACAGTCAGCAGTCATCAGCAGCTTAAATATATGCACACAACCACACGCGCAAACAATAATGCAGAAAGTAGTAAACTTGTGCTGTCATTAATGCTGCCACCAACGCTGCTGCTGCGGCAAATGGCGTTGACAGCTGCTTTGACTGCAGTTCTTACATAAGACCGCTGCGTGGCGTATTTGTTATTTGCTGTATTTGCGTTTGCTAGTGTGTGTAAATTGTTTTTACTTTCGCTTTTTGTTGTTGTTGTTATTTCACTCTTTTTTTCTGTTTTAACTCAAGAATATTTCACAGCAGATTACCTTAACAAATTTTGCGTCTTTTTTTATATTTTCGCACAAACAACTTCACTTGTTGTTGTTGTTATTATTGTTTTCCTTTTATTGGCACCAAGTGTAACAAAAACATTGCGAATTCGCACAGACTTGCTGGCTGCTGCCAAAACTATCATTGCATACTGCAAAGGCAACGAAACGAGACGAGCAGCCATGGCGTATACGTAACATCCATGCATTTATTTGGGGGAAAAACACAGCGCTGCAGAACGATTGGCGAACAAAGTGTGAATGTCAAAAATGTTGAAAATGCGTTTCAGTGAGCACAAATTGTGCGTTGCATGGCGGAAATATGCACGCGCGCTATCGTTGTTGTTGCCGTTTGTTTGTGCCACAGCTGCTACAAGGAAGTCGTTTCTAAACTTTTTACGCAATTTGTTTTTGTTGGAAATACAAAATTTTTAAAAAATATTTTTTTCTTCGTCATTTCTGAGTAGTTTTTCACAGCAAAAAATGTGGAAATTTCCACTTTGTATTTGCTCACTTTCGTAAATTTTGTTTACTTGCAACACCACATGCAAGGGTATTTGTTCTACAAACTTGAAAAGCGCACGCACAGACACACACATATATGGCGAAGAAAGCGTTTACACCAACACACTTACCACATGCCACAAAATTCAACGATTTAAGTGCGTGCCGCCACAAAATAACACACACCTCAAACAACCGTTATTTGTTTATATGCACATGCGGTCCGTCATCAATTCGATTGGGTGGTCCAGCGAGCGGTCAAACAACGAACAAGCGAGCGAGCGCGCGACGAGCGACAGGACGAACGAACGCGGCGCGCATTTACCACAACAACTCTGTAGAGCATACACACACGCACACACTAATTGCTTGTGTAGAATGCGCTTGGCTGGCGTTACCGTCTTAGCGTGTGTCCCGATTCATACTGAAACGCAGCATCAGCACTCGCCAGCATCGCAGCCTATGCGACAAGCAGCCAATAAAAGGGAAATTCCCACCGCCAGAAAAAGCGCATAACGACGAGCAATATGAAAAGAAAACTTCCCTCCACAACAAACACACAACACACGTCGGTCGTGTGTGACAACAGTGCCAGCCGAGTGTTGCCGTCGCAGTCGTCGTCAACAGCATCCGTGTGCATTTTTTTTCAAGGATAACTTCAGTCGCGGCTGCAGCTGCAGGATGAAGCGCGCCCAATGGCTAGCGGTGTCGCTGTCTGCGCAGTTGACGGCGGCAGCAAGGTGTGCCGCGACGTGTAGCTGCAGTATGAAGGATATTTTAACAGCACGTTAACAGTCGCCTATGTGGCTTTGTGAGCGCAGGCGCTCTTGTTCGCAGCGCGAGAGCGCAACTCTGGCGACCACGTGTTCACAACACTGCAGGCAAAGCTCTACTCATTCATGATTTGTTTACTTTGAAGTTATAAATTACATATATAATATAACTATTGTTGTTGTTGTTTTTCGGTGTATAAAATATGTTGCGTTTTATTTTGTTTTCAAATCAAAGCACTTGATGCGACGAATTCACTCATTTCTTGGTAATTTGGGAGTAATACATATGTGATTTGTTTACATTTTAGTTGTTGTGACTTCAGCGCGGAAGTCAAAATGACAATAAAGAGCTTTATGAGATTACGGGTTAACCTTATGCGTTATAAGTCAATGACAGCTATATGCTATACTGGTCCGATCTGAACAAGTTGTTCGGAGACTGTAGCATTGTGGTCCAAATCCATGCTAAAGTACATGAAGATATTTTGTCACATAAAAAAGTTATCCATGTAAGGATTTGATTTTGATTAATCAGTTTCTATGACAGCTATGTTATATATTCGTCCGACCTGAATAGTCCGAGATCGACGGTTTAAATAAATGAGAAGATTCTGGAGAAGAAAAGGACCTTATCGAAAAATTTCAGCAGTTGAAATATGATAAATTGACCAATCGATGTTAAAATCGCATATCTGAAACTTTGTTTAAAAGCATCCAGTACCCAGTCTATACAACGAAATTTTCAGCGAAGTGGAAATCTATTAGTCTTTAGCATCTGTTTCAAGAATAATCAAAAATGCACTGCCTCTATACTTTATGAAAATATGGAGCCCTAAAGTTGTTTTTTTTTTATGATTGGCTTCAGTGACCTTCATATGTAATAATTTATCATTACTTAGACAGGTTTTTATACGAACGAAGACTAAAACCTTTCTTAAATATGCAAAAAAAGAGAGTCACATAAGCTAATGTTTCATATAAAGTATATAAAACAAAGTTTTAAGCCATCCTGTTGTCGATTTCCTTGAGTAGCAATCAAGTCAGAAGTACCTTCACAAGCATACGCATTCACTCCCATATTTTTATTCGTTAAATGTTTCACACACTACAAGTATTTTGTAGTTATTTGTCCCAATGACACACTAACAAACAGCTGCCAACAAAATGACCTACGCTCTGCCTTACTCTCTCGTACAAATGCAGAGTTATTGAGAAAGCAGCAAATAGAGAGCGTACATAAAACAAAACAGTTGGCACACTCTTAAAGCTTCTATGTTATAACTATCTGTTAACAGTTATGTTAATAAGTCGCTATGCAACGAACCGACCACGTGCTACGCTGCAGTCGAATTCTAATATTCATCGATGATATACGATTGTTTTTATTGGACAAACTCTCCGGATTATATGTTGGCAAAACTATTATTCGAATGCAGCAATAAGATTAAAATAAGATCAAAATTTAATTAAATATAGAATTAAAGTTTGACCCCAGGTTCTTGAAATTTGTACTCATATACCTATATAGATTTATTGTGGAATATTTTACAAATAATATCAAGAAAAAAAATGTATAAACGAAAAAAAAAAAGAAAAAATATATATAATATATTTGAAAACGTCAAGTCTTGTTTAAACTCTATCTATAACAACATTAAAAGTATTTAGTAGGCTAGTAGGTTCAGATTTATATATAGGTGAATTGTGGAGATCTACTTTGTCGTAGGAGATGGTCTATAGACTCTGTTCGTTGGTACTTTGCATGAATATTTCGTTAATTTTATTTGCTTGTGTTCGATATACAAATTTCTTCTGAACTCCACTGTACTCATGGAAGTTTGCTTTCTTATTTACAATATTATAACTAAGAAGCTCTTCCAAAAATGACAAGACTTTCCTCTAAGGTTAAGTATTATAACTTATAATAACTGCAAAATCGTAAAAACATATTTGAACTAAAGCTTTGACATTATTATTGATTTCTCACTGTGTCTAGTGGAGTTCTGACCCCTCCATCAACCCAAGTTAAGCACTAAATCTACTTATCCGATTTATGAATGGATTGTTAAAGTTACAGCCCTAGGTTTTCCTGAACATTACCGAAACGTTGTCACTCCAATAATATAGCTGGATCTTCTTTAGCAGTCTGCAATCAGAAGCTGAGAGAATATCTCTGGCTATTCCTATTTTTCGAATCGGGCTAACAGTAGAAGTAAAACCAACTCTTAATATGACCTAGTGTTCTTCTGGGTATTGTGAAGACGTAATGGAAAATCTTGGTGAAAGCATTCTTGCAACAGATGGGAACCAAAATTTACAGCATCAAGTCTATTCAACAGCTTATCTGGTTGGTGCAAGGCCTGATTTATATTGACGCCTTTTCAACTCTATCTTATTTCAGCTTTCTAGGATAATAAGCTTGAAATTTTTTTTTTGCGCTCAACGGTAATCAACGGAATTTGTACAAAATAGTTCCAGATCTGTTCACTTTTGAAGGAGACTTAATAATGCCATTCTCATACCTGAGACTCGTCCCCAAACACAGTTGATTTTCACAAGCTTTTCTTGAGTCGAATTTTCACCACAAAAAAAGTCCAGGCAGTAATCACTTGGTGCTAGGTCCGGAATATAGGTTGCATAAAAACTTCTCAACCAAGCTCACGGAGTTTCTAGCGCATCACCATCAATATGTATGGCTTGGCGTTGGCCTGTTGGGAAACAATTCATCTACTGGCCCAATCGTGCCGCTTGTGGGCGATTGCTTCCTCTAAACGGTCCAGTTGCTGACAGTACTGGCCCGAAGTAAGAGTTTGGCTCGTAATAGATGATTACCTGTCAATCCTATCAAATACATAGCAAAACCTTCCTTACAATGAATACTGACTTGGCCACCGCGATTCAACCACAACGGTTGTCTCCTGACGATATCGTAAGTTATCGTATTTTCATCTCCAGTAACCATTACAGAAATGTTTCGCTTATCTTGCGATAAAGCAGCTATTCGCAAATGGAAATTCGGTTCAAGAGGTTTGTTTTTGCAACCGACTACAAGTATGTGGTCCTCGTACATTGAGATTATTTTTGTATCTAGCAGTATTTAAATGGCTCCACAAATTTTTTTGTGGTATGCTTAGTTCCTGGGCAAGCTAAATTGTGCTCACATGACGGTTGGACTCGACAATTTCCATTATTTTGTCGATATTTTTTGTCAATGGGCCTTTCAATGCGTGATGCATCTTGCAAAAAGTATTATCTTCCACTTGTCTAGATGAGATGTAAGTTTCTACTCAAAAACGAATCCAAATATGGAAGTTGATTTCTTCAAAGGTTATAGCTTACAAGTGCAAAGGCAAAGTAATTATTATACAAACAAACACAGATGCAAAATCAAAAGCAGCACGCAATAGCGCAGCTGCTGTTTATGGACAACATATCGATAAATACACACACACACACATACAACATACAAACATACATGAAGAACGTTGCGCGTGCAACAAATGCAGCGACAAGTGACATGTGTCACTAAAAGTCTCGTCTATGTTTATGTTTGTCTAAGTGAGTGCATGGCATGAACTTAATTGTTGTTGCTGACCCGCTCAAAGACACGCACACACATATATATAAAAACACGCACATATGCACGCCAGTATATGCTGACATATGTGCCACCAATGCGGCAATGAGCCGCAGGTGCTGCAACGCGTGCCCCAACACACACACGCACATACCGATTTATACACCGAGGAGTTGCCTGCATCTAACAAATTATGGCCAATGGCATAATTTTGCTAATTAAGCGATGTTGCCACCACAAAGCCCGCAAACCAGCATCAAACGCTCCACCCTACAGCCATGCTGCATGCCACTGCAGCTTCGTTGTGTCAGACGATGTCGAAGGGCTTTCGCTTCATTAAATTAACGTTTGCAGTAAATTTCACTTTAAAACGCAAATTAATTGCACGAAAACCTAGTAGCTATCTGTCTGTCTAACTGTCGACAAACCCCCCCAACATTGGCTGTCAGCGCCTCTCAAGTACCAAGTTTGCCTACTTACATACTTGTAGTTGTTGTTGTTGCTATTCTATTTTTTTGGTTTTTTTTTTCTTTGGCTCTCTGTGACTTTGTCTGCATTTTATCGATTTACTACAGTCAAATGTCCCACATAGCAGCAGCAGCCGCAACGCTTAACCACCGCCACCGGCACCTCCCCTTCTTTGCTTAATGCTCGGGGGTCAACTGATTACATTCGAAATGCACTAATACAAACGCAAATGCATACAGGCATGCAAGCGCACAGCTTCACAGCAGCATAGCGGTAAGTATTTACTTTTGTGCATGCGTGCAAGCCACTTCGGTCCCCCTCTTGCCAGCACATTCCATCGCCGACCTTCTTTGTGTGCTACTTTCACTGCAATTTGCATTTTAAAGGCAATTTAGTTGGTGAAACGCATGAAGCAGGGTTGCATTATGGCTTTAGCTTGACGCATACTAATACCCACACACGCACGCACACATATATATGTATGCATGTACCAACGCATATGCATTTGTGCGCACTTTCGCCACTCGCAAAGTGCACTTACATGATTATCTACACATACACACGCGCATACATATATTTGCATGTTGAACAACATATATATTAGCTCTCGAGTGAGTTGTGTTGCCAGCGCTGCTGCCTCGGTGTGGGCGGTGGTATGGGTGTGGCTATGGTGTGTACATGTTGCCTTTGCTGCTGATTTTCTGTGCACACATCTTACACGCTTTTA